TCTCCAGAGCAGCATCAACACTTAATGGAGGATGCTGGTAAGACCCTTAGCCATCAATTATGATCCATTTCATGCCAATCGGAATCAAAAATAAATAAATCAATGACAAATGGGAAACAATTTAACCTAATTCACAGTAACTCAACTCACCACAAATCTCACCACACTACACACTGTTTGAAGCAATATGTTATATACTGTATGTTAAACATTAATGGGAACTGCAAAATTAAGTTACACAAGGAAATTTTTGTAAAATTATAAAATTTTACATAGAAATTTATACTTAAAAAAAAAATCTTAGTGGATGGATGGATGAATGGTCAAAACGGACAGGGTAAATAACTCGATTTCCTAAGAAAGTGAACATTTAGCGTTGACATGTAAAGTACTGCCTGTTCCTGACAGTAGGTATATAGTGTAATTTCAGCTTCTCAGTAAGACAGTGTCATGAAATGGGGTATAAAGTTGTTCTCTTCCTGAATCCTGGAGGGTACAGAGAGCCTCCGATATGACCATTTCCAGGTACTTTAGCTCCTGGACATTGTGATAGTCTGGCACCTCCTGCAGGAGGCAGAGCATATTACCTTATGGCTGAGTGCAGTGTCCCTAGTGTCAAACTCAAGATTTCAGCAAAACCCAGGTAGGACCAATCCAGTCTGAAACCCTCACTCTGAGAATTTTATGAATGGTCTTTGTTTGTGAAGATGCCTCCTCCTCCCCTCGAGAGATACAAGTCACATATGCCAGACCAATTTAAAAATTCAGTGCAGTCCTGGGGGGAAGTTGTTGTCAGCGGTAATCTCTCCATCTGCATCTGAAAACAGCAGTTCAAACATGCCCTCATCACTGCCTGCGGGGGACTCTAAGTGCATGTGAACGTTTCGCTTTTCCCCCCAGAGCTCATTTTACACTTCCAAGGTAGAGGTAGTATTTGCAAAACCAATTCTGCCAGTAGAGGGCAGCATTTGTGCCTTTCTTGTAAATGATATATTCACAGGACCTTGTTCTTCCACTGTCAGCAAAAAAACCAAAGATAAGTCATGTAGCAGAAGATGAAAGGTACAAACATGGCATATGACAAAAGGAAATTCAGGTAGCTGTTGGGCTTACACGTCTGCTTTGAGGGATTTTGTACCATTCAAGTCATTTTTTAATGATTGTGTTCCAGAAATCAGAAAATATCCATCAACCAGAGCACACCAATCTATAGAGTTTGTGATTACACAGAAACTGATTAAAATCAAAGTTAAATCTTTATTTCTGCAAGCTGAGCTCTGTCTCTCACATGTAATTAACAAGTAGACCAGACAGATTCAGATTTCCACAGGCTGATAGCAATGATGATATTTTTCTGAAGAGCCCATGTACAAAGGGGATGTATCACAAGACTGGGTGTGGCCACCTATGACCTCCCCTTCTCCAGCTAGTACAGTAACATTCCGTTATAATGGACTCGCTTATAATGGAATATTGTCTATAAGCAAGGCGCATGGCATGCCGGTGATATCCAGCGCAGATACGTAGTCGAGATTATTAATAATCACACATCTGGTCAGGTAAAATTGGATTACTACATGTACAATATAATAATCTATACCACAAGTGTGTCTGCTGGGGTGCAGTATGTGTAAATGGTGTCCTGTAGTTCTGTTCTGGGCATATAGCAACTCTATAGGACTTTGGATATAATGGACTATTTTGCCAGGTCCCTTGAAGTCCATTATAACTGGATTTTACTTTAACACATTTGCACTGCTTTTCAGTTAGTGTATGCCCTTGAAAAAACTGTTCGGATTGCTATTATTAAAATTAGTCAATCGAGTACTTAATTCAACAAGGGTCTGGAGCACAGAAGTAATCCTGAATTATAATGATACTTAACTAGAAGCTAGCTTTAAATCTTTTTAAAGAGCATGCAGGTATGTAATTTAAACAATCACCTTTCACTATGAGTTGCAGGCCACGAGGAGAGATGCATGTTGAACCAGACTTTGTAGACTCAATCACCAGTTCAGTAATTTCATTGTGACTAACCTCCAGTTGGGAGTTAAGGGCCTTGCTCAAGGGCCCAATGGTGAAATCACTCTGTCAACCATGGGATTTGAACCACTGATAATGGGTACAGAGTCCTAACCCACAGGGCCACATGCAACATGCCACCTGTTCATTTATTAGCTAGAACTAAGCTAAGGAACACAAAGAGTTTCCAGAAGCAGATCAATCAAATTCCACCCAAATGGAAAGAGTTTTCAGTGAGAATCAGCAAAGGGGACATTGTCAACAATGTGTGTATAGTGTTTTTCTACCAGGAAAGTGGCTGAAGCTCCTCTGAAGCCCTGCATGTTTTTCAGATTCTCAATAATAAGGACATGGCTTAGTAGGCTGACACAGCAGAGTTCCTCCAGAGCCCTGCGAGTTCTTGAAGGTACATTTTAATTAACACCCTATTAATGTTCCAGATACCAGGTGAGGTCACTTCCTGTTCCAACAGGTAAGCAGAGCTGAGGAGCCTCATTGAAGAAGCAGAATAGCGATGTGATATGGTCCTTAAGGCCTGGATTCACAAACCTTCACCAATCAGCGCTTGTGCAACACAGAATCAGCTCCGTCCATCAGTCAAGGTCCTGCAGAATGATAATAGATCTCCTGGCTTCCAGAGTGTCCTCAGCAAAAGACATGTTGCCCACACTCCCTGCGTCTTCATTTTGGGTAGTGATGTTATCTGTGTTTCAACCCATCATTCATGGGGCTGAGAGCAAGAGAGGGGTGGAAAGGATAGTGACTTGGTAGCAGCTACCAGGAACAGGCCCCAATAGTTAACAGGCAGCGGGGGATTGGGGTGTCAGTGGGGGCAGAGCCCGTGGGAGATCTGTCTTCACCACCTGTCTACCGGGGATAGAAGCAGAGGAGGATTCCTGTGTGGTAGACCAGATCTCATTCCCGCATAGCAGATAGCCAACAATGGTCCAGCAAAGTTAGGAGAGAGATGCATGATCTGGAGGGACACTAGGGGGCAACAGGGTAATGCTACTAGATAAACTGGAGAGCTCCCGTGTCAACCAACTGTCTCTAAGAAGGCAGCAGCAGCCAGAAGGGGGCAGGTGAATACCACCTCATGTAACTGAAACAACACAATGCCAGACAACATTCTCCTCTAAAGGGGAGGTGTTAATGATTTTGGTGGATTTCAGCAGATCTCATTTGTTCAGCTGCATCAGCCTGGCTCTCATGAGGCACTCTATGTAGTCCTGTCCTGGGACACCATGACGCAAGCAACCTGCCATATCCATTATGCTGTCGCTGTGCTCCAGCACTAGGGGGTGCATGTCACATGGCGTGCAAAGAAACCCGGAAACTGCATGTTGCATACTGCAAGCCAGCGCAGACCCCCGTATCCTGCCTTTCACTGGTAAGACCCATTAATTAGGAGTGTAGATAATGACAGAGGACTGAAGTGATCATGTCTCTGTGGTCACTGTTCTACTCCAAAGTGCTTCACTGTCTCGCATCCACATTTCACTGGATGTTTCATAGAGCCCAGACTTCAGATCTGATTCCAGATCAGCCACAAATAAGAAAGCAGGGCTGCCTTTACCCCAGAATGACAAGCAGCAGATTATTATGGAGATAAAAGTCCTATTGAGTGCCAGAAATGGAAAGTCAAGACAAAGATTTTGTTTCAACCAACCAGTTGAGCACTCTCTGACTATGAATCTTTATAATTAACTGGTTGGTTGGAACAAAATCATGGTCTGGATTTATACTTTCTGAACCCGAACTTTCCACCTGTTCAGTGCAGGGTGCAGCCCTGAGTGTGATGAACAAGGAATGACCATGACATATTATTATAAACCTGAACACACAGCTGAGGTTGTGTTCCCATTGTGGAGGGCCGCAGGTCGCCTTTAAGCAAGGTCACGTTCACAACTGAAAGATTCCATTCCCCCACCGGTCCTCCTGCTTTGAGAATGTTTCTCCTTCCACCAAAGATCAGTGACTGTGGGGTCAGAGGGTGGAGTCAAACTGAAGATATACACTCACCTAAAGGATTATTAGGAACACCATACTAATACGGTGTTTGACCCCCTTACGCCTTCAGAACTGCCTTAATTCTACATGGCATTGATTCAACAAGGTGCTGAAAGCATTCTTTAGAAATGTTGGCCCATATTCATAGGATAGCATCTTGCAGTTGATGGAGATTTGTGGGATGCACATCCAGGGTACGAAGCCCCCGTTCCACCACATCCCAAAGATGCTCTATTGGGTTGAGATCTGGTGACTGTGGGGGCCATTGTAGTACAGTGAACTCATTGTCATGTTCAAGAAACCAATTTGAAATGATTCGAGCTTTGTGACATGGTGCATTATCCTGCTGGAAGTAGCCATCAGAGGATGGGTACATGGTGGTCATAAAGGGATGGACATGGTCAGAAACAATGCTCAGGTAGGCCGTGGCATTTAACCCTCTGGGGTCTAGGGGTAGGAAACACACT